TATATATATATATATATATATATATATATATATGTATATATATACACCGTCTAATATTTAACTAAAAATTACTAGACAGGATTGTATAATGGTTATAAAACCAATAACCAAGAGAAAAAAGTAGACAATAAATACAGACTGTCATGTGACCCAGATATTGAAGTTAGGACATAGGACATTTAAATAAGTATGATCATTATGTTCAACAAAATACTTTTAAAATAGAGAAATAAGGCCAATGTGGCTGGACCATACAAGAGAATGAAATATAAGATTGAAGATACAAGCAGGGGCTGATCATTCAGGGTCTTTTAGGCCATGGTAGAAAGTCTTAATTTTATTCTAAGTCATAGTTTTAAGTAAGAAAGGAAAACAACCCAATTTGCATTTAAAAAAGAAGAATCAAGGTAATCATCTAAAAAGCTATAGCTCTAACCCAGCTAAGAGATGATGGTAGCTTCGACTGGGATTGCTGTAGAAGATCTGGAGAGAAGGAGCTAGATTCAAGATATATTTTGGAGGTAGAAGCTACAGGACTTGCTCATGGTTTGAATGTAATGGATCAAAGAAAGAAAGACAGCAAAGATCTCTCATGTTTCTGACTTGAGCAAGATGGAGTAGAATGACAGTAGAATAGGTTAGGGAGCAGAGGGAAGTTCCATAGAAGTTGGGAGGCTTTCCTAAGATTACCAACAAGTTAGTAGCAAAACAAGGACTGGAATCCAAGTCTCTTGATTCTTACTCCAGTACTTTCTACCATAGTGAACTTACTTTCCTCTAGGAATTCTTTTCAGTACTATGATGTCTGCCTGTTTTACATAGACAGTGAAGAGTGTGTTCAGAAGTCTAGTGTCCAGGAGTAGTCAAATATTAATTTTGAAGCTTTAAACATGGGTGGAAAATGCCAGTGCTTTCAGAGCCAGGACATAAGATGGGTAAAGATTGGGTTTTATGCTAATAGAGAATGGGGGGAGGGCTCTTTTGATGAACCTGCAGCATATACACCACCTACAGCCATTCAAATTCAATTTTTAAAATATTTTTAATTACCCTCATGCCAATGAAAACATATTTATATGCAGTTTACCAACTTCTGCTAATTAGATGCAAATATTTTTGGTAACACCTTATTTTGCCTTTGAACATGAGCAAAAGATAGGAGAGTTCCGTTCAAGGACTTTACTCTTGTCTAGCCACTTATTGGAAATGACAACGTGTTTCTAATTGCATGAATATTTATATGTAAAATAGAATTCTAAGGTTTATTCCATAAACAAACAAAGAACTAAAAGAAGGCCACGCCTAAACCAGTGATGATAATGTATCGTGATCCAGCGACCATGATTAATCCAACCTTTTACAACCAAAATCCAAAAATCAGTTAATTGGATTACCTTGCCTGATGCACTTATTGTTCTCTTGAGATATGATACCGGGAACCCTCAAGCTCATCACCTAGGAACAGACAACAGAAAGAGGAAGAAAAGCATGATTACAAAATGGAAGCTGCCAGTGATGTACTAACATATGGGTATTCAATAAGAAAGCAATGGGAAAAAATTGTGACATGAAAAAACCTAGTTTGCACCTATTTCATGAAATTGTTTAATGCCTCCAGAAAATGTTTAATTTTTGTATGTTTCAACTGGGAAGACATTCAGCTTAAATGTTTCTAGCCAGTTTTATAATTTCTAAACTCATTATATAGAACCAAATTTGGCAGGATATCAGTGTAGTGTGTTTTTGACAAAATTCCTGAATGTCTTTTATATGTTTAATTTTTGAAAATGTATTTAATGAAAGGACAAAAATTCAATTCATTATATAATCCATAAAGCAAAATAATTAAATAAAAATGAAACATCTTGAAAGCATATGACCCACAGGATTGTCATTATCAAGTTAATATTTTAGAATTTTTATTATCACTTTTGCATCTGTTTTTTCATAACATTTTATCTTTTCGGGGGAGCTCTCAATATATCTGTTGTGACTTGATGAATTTATTTCCTTCCACTCATTAATAAAAGTGAGCAATTTGATTGATCTATTTCTTCTGCTGTTTTGTTATAAACAGTAACTTTAGTGTGATTATATAAACATGGCTGTTTCCCTTCATCTGCTTCCAAAAATATATGAATGAACATCAAAAGTATTGCTGTGCGTGTAGAAAATCAAAAGCTGTCTTGCCGACAGTTTGTATGAAAAAAATCTAAGAATTTTAGGTGATGACAATCTTAATGGGAGCCTACACAGCACTAATTACTAGTATTATTTCTACTGTTACTATTACTACCACTGCTAATAACAACAATACTTTATTCTAGTCAAGGTAGTATATAAGATTTTCCATTAAATAAACAACCTTAAAATAAACACATAACAATGATAAATAAAATATTTGCATATGTAAAAAAAGTTGTATTTGTGCTTAAAATGATATTAACCAGGTATTCATGAACCAGAAAGAGAATTACACTGGGTTAGGACCCAGACCTACTAAACTTGAGGATGGAACCAAACCAAACATCTACATCAATTTCTGGTTGATTATTAATTATAATGTCACATACATTTTAGACAACCAGGGTTAGTTTTGTGGCATGAATTCAAAGACCAGCAGAGGCTCCTTGTCTCAACAAAGTCTTTTTTTTTTAAAGCCCATCCTATCTGGAGAGAGTAGTAGCATTTGAGGCCCCAAACTTGGGTCAAGCTAGCCTGTTGGCTTACAAAATGGGTCTTTGATATTCTCCCAGCATAGTAGATCCATGTTACCAAAGTAAGGTCTGGTTCCACAATGAGGATCCAGCATACTGGGTAAAGCCAACTGGAAAATATTAACATAGAGATATGTGTGAGGCAAGGAAGAAAGAAAACACAAACAAGTGCATACACACATACACATACATCCTATACAAGTTAAACTTGCAAGTAAAAACGTCAAAGCACATGAGAATAATAAACATCATAGAGCTCAACAAAACAAGAAATTACTCTAAAATAATAGCAAATATTAAAACATTCTTCTAAGGACTTTAAAACCTCCATAAAGAGGAGGGGAGTGGGGAGAGGAGAATAATAATAAAGTCAACAACAAATAATAATAGTAGCTAAAATGAATTGAGTACCTCTGCCACAATTCTCAAGTGGACTGATTTATTTACTATAACAAATCAGTGAGGAAAATAAAGGAAAAAATACAATTTTTACCTGGACCCCATTCTTCCACTAAAAGCAATGCTTAACTTCTCAACCTCTTGACTTTGGAATCAGCAAACACCTCAAGGAAAACAAAAATGTTGCCAAATACTGAACACTCCTTTGTGAACTTTCTCCCCTGAATCTCGCTCTCACCTCTATAAGACAAAATCAATCATCATGAAACAATGACCGGAAGATAGGAATCAAGATTTAGTAGAACAAGAGGAAAACAAATCACAAAAATGAAAAATACAATCACTGAAATAAGAAAAGACAGAATAAGGATCTAACTGACAGGATAGCTGGGGAATTGGAGGATAACAGTCAAGAATTTTCCTGGAATGAAATGTAGAGGAGCATAAACAAAGATAAAAACTTAGAAGATGTGAGAGAAGGAGAATAGATAAGAAGCTCCAACATATACCTGACCATTTTTCCAAAATTAAAGACTAGAGAATACGGCTAATAATTTTCCTGAATTAAAGGAAGACAGAAATTATCAGAAAGAAAACTCTTGGTGCACAACAGAACAAATCATAACAAGCCTACGCCTATGAGTTTGATTATAATAAGAGTGACATTTCTATAGCACTGCACACTGCACTGTCTCACATAGGAGTTCTGCTTCTAGCAATGGCAATGAGGACAGCCGGGAAATCTGGATAATTTGTTAACAAGATTTATATGAAAGCATCAGAGAGCTACCAAGGGGATGAGGATCTGTGGTATCAAGATCCATGCAAAGAGCAGAGGCACAGAAGCCAGCTCCTCCCGTTACGATAACTGCCAACTCTGAAAATGGCAGCTGAGGGGTTGAGAAGCTGAGCAAAACTTTAGAGCAATTTGTGATGTTACTGCAGTTGAGTTCAGGGATCACAAAAAAAGAGAGCACTGCTAAATATGCCAGGCTTTTGAGTGAGCCTGTGAAGAGCTACACCCTAAGAACAATGCTGAATTAGACCACATGTAGTTCCTCATGGTCCAACTGCTAAAAGCTAAAGACAGAAAAAATCTTTAATGTCATTATGAAAGAAAAAAAAGACCCTCAAAGTAGTAACAATTAACCTTACGGTTTACTTCTAAACAGAAATAACGGAAGTCAAAGACAAGAGAATTGTGAAACGACAGAAAGAAAACACCTATTAATATAGAATTCTATATACAAAAAAATACCTTTTGAAAATAAAATGATGTAATTATATTTTCTAAGGAACAAACTGAGAGAATTCATCATTAGCAGACTACACTAAAAGAAATTAAAAAAGCTGTTCTTTAGATAGAAGGAAAATGATTGAGGTGGAAAAGCTAATATGTGGGTAAGTGAATATAGACTACATAATCAACATGTGTGAGGATTGAATAAAACATGAAGAAAAATAAAGAGAAAAATATATGAAAACAACACTACATAATTGGAGAAAAGGGTAAATAAGGTTAAAATGTTCTAAGGTCCTTGTACTGTCTAGAAAGTGGTAAAAGTATTAATTTATAATATAATTTAATAACTTGAAGATGCAGATTGTAATCTCTAAACCCACATTTACTAAATAATAGTAAAAACATATATAACTAACAAGGTAATAAGTGGTATCATGATTAAAAATACAATTTTAAAAAAGTCAAAAGGAGCAAAAGGAATTAAGAATAGTTAAGACAAGGAGAAAGATAATAACACGATAAATTTAAAAGTATATCAGTAATTACATTAAATTTCAAACAACTATATTCTGTCAGTTTGAGTCTTCCTGGAAGCAGGCACCAAGATGGAATGAGAGGTACAAAGATTCATTGACAAAAATAAAAGAGGAGAGGAAACAGTATGCAGAGAGAATCTCAGATCACAATGCAGATCTGACACCTGTGAAAAAAGTAGGGGGAAGGAAGGATTGCAGAAGAAGCTCCTCAGACTGCAGTGCAGCTCGGCGAGAGTCTCAGCCAGGCTGATGTGGAGCCCACAGCAAAGACTGTCCGTTATATGGACAGAAAGTCTTGGCTTTTTTACCCTTGCCATGCTTACTTATTGCTGGGAGCAGCCCAAGTAAGGATGACTTTGGGCTGAAGGCAGGGAATTGGATCTACCCAAAGTAGTTGGAGGCTGTCAGCTAATTACACTCCTTGTGGCAGCTTCTCTTTTAAAGACAGATCCGACAACATACCTCTCAGATGCCACAGTCCCCCATCTGTCCTGTGCAGATCCACTTCCACACTTATTCAAAGACCACCTTCTTGTGGGCCTTTCGTCCTGAGGTAAACACGGAAGAAGACGAACTACAGCCCCTGTCATTACTTTTGATCTGGGGGTGACAACTGACACTCATTGTCTCTCTGCTCTGCTTTGCATTTTCAATTCCCCTCACCCTCAGCCATCACCTGCAGGTTTTAGTGCTATGTAGTAATATTACCCAAAGCCTCATTCTGGAAATGTCTGAGACCCTGGTAATCGTCACCTTTCCTGTTCAGGATTGCTACTTTTGTCAATTCACAATTACAGTTGGGTAAGGGAGTAACAAAATGGACCCAATTGGATCACTTGGATTCTATATATATTCTTTCCTGCCCCCACTGTGTATAAGCAGCCCTACCTACTGGATCCCAGTTGTATCATTTTGATCCCTACAGTCTCGATCCTGGATGTATCATTCCCATCTTATAATGGACTGCTTCTGGGTCTCTCTGGCTTTAGATTTGGCAGGTCTGACAGAACCTAGATCATAACAGCAAATAAGGGATGGTCACCCGGTACCCATGGTCAAGTGTTCTACCAGGACTCAGTAACACTCCAGGAGCTGTTTCTCAAAAAGTATAATTCTCCACCACACATGACTTTGTCTTTCTCTAGAACACCAGAGTCCTGGATTGTAATTCTTCCAGTGGGGCTTGCCGTAAACTCCATAATGAATCGTTTTTACCTTAGACTCTTCAATACCATAGTGTTGACTAGATCATATGGCCCAATGGACAAAGGTGTTTGTGTCAAGGCTGTCAGCCTTCCATGTTACTGTATGTGAGCTAGAGCACAATTCCTAGGTACTGAATGTGTACTTCCAGAGCCTGAAAATGACCATCAGGTAGTGTCCATTAACTTGTCTTTTACTTTGGATATTCTGACACATCTCTGACTACATCCTCTAAAAACTTCACTGAAGTGTCAAGTCCCTGAATCTCTATAAGATTTATCTCTCATTCTCTGAAGTACCAAGGCTTCAAGCATGCTAGTTACCTCTTGCTCATCTTGCCCAATCAGCTTGGCATCATCAGTGTGGTGTTCTGTGAGATATTCAGATGATACAGGTGGTCCAGATCTCTTTGAAGTATGTTGTGACAGAAGATGAGAGAATTACATAGCCCTGAGGCAAAACTTTAAATGAATTGTCTACATGGATGCAAATTGTTTCTATTCCATTGAAAATGGAAAAGAACACATTCACCCAATAAAAGGCCACATAGTATGTACCTGACACTTTATTATTCTGGTCTACAAATGATGTCATGTCTGGCATGGCAGGTGCAATTGGGACTACTACAAGGATAAGAGTGCAGTAGTCTATACTCACAAGCATCCATCAGATTTCTTCAGGGGCTGGACTGGCTAATTAGAGGGATAGGTTAGGTACAACCACCCATGCATCTTTTAGATCTTTATGTCCAACATGAATATCCATCCCCCCTTCCAGGATTTTATATTTAACATCTTGTTCAAGGTTTAACACAATTCAGAGTCTTAAATTTGTCCTTCCCCATCATAGTAGCTGTCAACCCACAGGCCAAAAACTCAATGTGAGGATTACTCTAACTGCCAAGTGTGTCGATTCCAATCAGTGACAAGGAATGGACCTGTTGTAAGGCAGGCTTTGGCCAGGACTCCATTTATTACTTAGCTCCTGCATGTCTCCACTCTAACAAGAAAGATTCAATGGTGCTTTGAGTCTCTGTATCAACTCAGACCCTGTGTCCTAGGGTCCTCAAAATATTTGACATCCCTATTTTCACAGTGTATAGTGACCCGAATAAATGGCTGTAAGTCCTTTGGAGAAGGACTAGAGGTACTTTTATAGTATGCATTTGCCATGGCTTTGTAAGTTCCTTCCTTTTGACCTGACCATCCCTTGATTCATCGAGTTCCGGATCTGAAAATGGGCTCATCAAGGAAAAGTTGGCTGAGCAAGGAATCATGACATTTTATTGGGCAACTGTCCCCACCCTCTTGCTCCTCTATTGTTTTTTAGTTTTTATGTGCATCTCAAACTTCTTTAAACATAGGATTACTTCATAAAAGAATAAAGCAAACTCAAAACCCATTGATAAAACCTGAAGTAAATAAAGAAGGGAGGATTTTTTTTTTCTCTTGAGACAACAGATTACAGGTCAAAAAAAGTTCATGCTCCAGAAGATTCAGAGAAAGAAGAGAGGTGAGGACACATATCAGCTTTTACTTGCTGCATGAGAAGCCATTCCAAAACTTAGTGACTTCAAACAATAATCACTTGTATTTTTCCCACAAAGATATAGTTTGGCTTGATGGTTTCTACATTGGTCTTGCCTGGGCTCACACATTGGCTACATTCATCATGTGAGCATATTCCACATG